TATGACTGTGCGTATCATGCTGATGGTCATCATGCCTGTTTTCACACTGTGTCATACTCAGATGTGAGGGACCTCACTAGTTAGTGGGTATATAGAAATAATATGCTGGCTGTTTTCCAAGGGTCAGGCAGCATAGGTCTCTCTGATGGCAGTGACTGTTGGGATAATCCCAAGTATTACAGTCTAGTAGAGGAACCTCAGGTGTGTGTTGGGATTACTACAGGGATTTAAGACATGAGGTGTTGGCTGCACTGATTTCAGATGCTGGCAGCTATTGTGTAGACATCTGATCAAGGCTTCACACCCGACATCCAAAAGTAAAAAATTTTTGGTCATGTTCAATATGGTGGCTGCTATATCAAACCTCAGCAATAACATGTTCATTTGAACGGAATGTGATGTAAATATACTTTGTACTGACTGGGACATTCAAGGAGTGGGAGATGAGTGAGTGAGAATGGATATACTGTGTGTCTCATTTCCAGTTTGTTCCTCTTTTTATAAAAAAAAAAATCAGGGAATTTATGTTTGAGGGTTTTTTTTTTTGGATGTCTGAAAAAAATATGATGATGAGAATCAACAACACCAGCCAGACCGAAACCTGATTTTGAAAATAGCATTTTCAGTAAACAAATTACAATTTTTAAATCTTACTTAGAGGGATTCTAAGTACTCATTTTGATTCGGCCACTCATTTTGATTTCCTCCCTATTTTATTTATCCCCTCTTATTATTAGAATATTCCTGTGTCACCGAGGAACATACTTACTATCAAACATGGCAAACAGGATACTCTTGGAATAGGAAACTATACACTTTGGGTTGGGTTATGGGCCTGCACACATTTGAAATTAAGAGCCTTAGTCAGTAAGGACTAACTTCTTTAACACAGAGTATGTGCATTCTGTTTATTATATGTGGGAAATGGAAATGGATTTCCTACCAAAGCCAAATGTCAGTTCACTGAGAAAATGAGAGAGAGAAGGCAGTATGACTGCTCCATGTGAAGTCATGTGATACGTAACTTTAAGTACGTTGACTACATAATTTGTCAAATAGTACGTCCAAAGTTGAGCCTTTGTGGCTTCAATAATGGGTGAAAGCCTAGTACAATGTAATCATTACATATGTGTACTGTATTAAAGAGCTGGACATGTCTTTCTTAAACACTTCCTTGTGCCATAATTTAAAGGTGGAAAGGAATAATGCAGTATTCCTCACATGCCTTATTACAACATACAAGTAAACTGTCATAAGAACAAACCAAGCACATGAATGTGGGTGGTAATGGCACAATGGATAAGACGCCTGCATTTGGTGTGAGAGACCCGGGTTCAACCCCCCACTGTGACCCATCCGCCATTGTGTCCCTGAGCAAGACACTTAACCCCTAGTTGCTCCAGAGGCGTGCGACCTCTGACATGTATAGCAATTGTAATTCACTTTTGATAAAAGCGTCGGCTAAATGAATAAACGTAAATGAACAACTTGTCCAGCTGAATGTAGTGAGGTGGCGCAGACCTTCCTCATTGTCAAAATATGATGAACACAGAATAAATTATTGTATTCCCTTTTTATTGTGTACATAGCTTTCAATTCAGAAACACTAGCCTACTTTCATTCACAAGTCATGTGACACAAGAGTGAAATTAGTGACTGTTGTCTTGTGCTATGACGTAATATGTTGGTTAAAGTGACAAATGTAATGTAGGAAATATTGAAGTTTAAGTTTAAGTAACAGCCTACATGCTTAAGTCACATTCTCTGCATCCAGATCAGACCCTCCATTAATCACCCAATGTCACCATCTAGGGGATATAATCAGACATAATAAATATTTCTGCAGAAGTTTAACTTCAAAACAAAGCATAACATCCACTTTTTTAAATTTTAGAATGTGTTCTATTAGGACAACTGCCAAACAAATGAATGGGGTTACTTGTGGTAAGGACATAATCCATCTTCAACCCTCAAACTATAAAGCGTTCCAGTCTCATGGGGCTGCTAGCATGGGAAAATAGTGTACTTAATGTTTTGTTTAAATATCATTCATGGCTAGGTCAGTTTTTGCTTTCATTTTAACTATCATGAATTCAAGCTGACCAAAGCTGCGGTCCTCACTTTTAACAGCCCCCTTTCAGGACAACAAGAGTCAATCTCTGAAACTAAAAGGTGTAAGTGGAGTTTTGTTATACCCTTAATCAGTGTAGACAAAACAAAGCAACCCATGTTAAATTACTGTCAGCCTGTATCACTTTGGGACCAGTGTATGGAAGTTGTTTTTTGCCTTCTGGACAGTGTTATAGAATACCTTCTGGTAAACAAACAGGTATTTAAGTAATCCTTTGTACCATATGTACAATCAATATCATTAACAAACTGCATATTAACACTGGGACATTAAGGTTTAGACTATTCTATGACGCAGGCTAATCAGCAATAAGTGTATTCTGTGGTGGTGCTACTGACAATTTTAGTGTCTAACACAGAATAGTTCAGTAAACCTGATGAGTAGAAAAACATAATAATGGATGAGGGCAACAACCCCTTGTTCTTTTCGTAGTAGTGCAGAGGTGTTTAGCTGTAGTGGGTGCAACTGCCACCTTCACATTTTTATGTTCTCTGAGAAAACATTTTCCGTCATAGCCTTCTAAATTATTTTTAGATGTCTAATAAAAGTACAAATCTGTGGGTGTCATTTCATCTAAAGCTTGGCTGGCTGTGCAATGGAAGGAATATGATTCATTATTGTCACCTCGTGCGCTCATACACTTTGGTGATAGGCTTTGGCATGAAGCATTCCAGCATTTCTGTTTCAAATAGGAGATCTATGTCACGAAATGACAAAACACCAAGAACAAAATGTGGGTCACTCAAGCCTGTTTCATAAGCTAATATAAGATGATAGAAAGGAGTACAAGTATTGTACATTAGCATGAAAAATCATTATCAAGCACTTACTGTTGTATTTGTACACGCGACTCCAGAGAATTACTGCAGGTGTGTGCATGGGTGGCCTACATGTGACTGCAGATGTCTATGTCTGTGTTAGTGTGCAGGTTATATCACTCCATGATACCTTATCAAGAGATTCATCTTGTTTCAGATGCCCCTCCTTTTTGTTACAACACCCCATCACACACAAAACACAAACACACACTGTGGAATAGGTAGGACAGCAGTGTTATTATACTTCAGGGAAATGAGTCACAAAGGCTCATGTCACCCATATACAACTTTACAATTATGAAAGTTCCCAGGAGGGATGTTTTTGTAGGAGAAACTACACTGAGAATATGTTCTGTTACACATTTCATCGCTACAGATTCATCTAGCTTACTGGTGATACATGTAGCAATTTTAAATCAATATATTTTATTGTCAGTTGTAAAACCTTATAGTAGAAACAGTTTTCAAATTCCAACAGGACATATTTTCTCAAGTATCTCTATTGATATCTAGCCATGCAGATTTTGACTTTGAGATATATGTCTCAGCCTCCCCTCAAATACAATAAGGAACAATGAAATTTAGTTTCTGCTGCCCACAACATTGAAAAGTCACATCTAAAACATTCAACAGCAGCACATGGTTCCACAAAGAGTGTCCCATTACTCTGGATAATCCACAGATCCTGACCTGTAAGATTAGATAATAATGCAGGATCTGCCATTAGGCTCTAATAATTTCAATTGTCATTTTAACTGATGGATCTGTAGTGATGCACATTTGCAAATAGTCTTTTTATTTATCCCCAGAGATCTACAGTATTTTCGGGGTCAGAAATTCAGGTATTTAGCTATTCATTAGTGCTGGTGTATTCTGTTAATGTAGACTTTGTTTAAATATGTGGTTATATGAACTGCATTTCAGACTTCAAAGATTTGTACATGAAATATTACAAGGTGACATGGTTAATTTATATGCTATTTTACAACAGGGCTGTATAAAGAAATGCAAGTTGTAGTTTCTTTTATGCTAACAAAATGTAGACTACAAAACAAAAACTACACAAATGGTGTATTGATGGTGTTAATAAGTCATAAAAATAAAAATAAACAAATGTTCCTGATGGAATGTTGTAAAAGACTCAAAGGTTGTGTTCTCAACAGGAAGCTGAAAGAATGATAATTGGACATCATATGTTTACTTCAATTTGTCAGACTTTGTACTCTCTCTTATCTTGTGAAACTACTGATTACAAGCAGGATGAAAGTCAAAATAGAAATTGGCCTGCTAATTTTCTTTCTTCTGAATTGTTCTGAAGGGCTTTCAGTAATTTTTTAGATTTATTGTACAAAGAGATGGATATATATATATATATTAATGTTTGTCCTGAGTACATCAGTAAGAATAGGAACACAATTATGTTGGCTATGCTTTATATCTATAGACATCAATGTATTTCCCCTTTAGCTGGGGGCCCCATGTAGGAGTAAAGTCCGGTCCTGGTAGCAGGATCGAACCAGCCTCCAGTTTCTCTGAAAGGATCCAACTTCGTGAGCTGGTTGCTGCTTGCAATCCCTATAGTTCCTGAATTGGGTCATAACTACAACATTCGAATAGCACCACAAACTTTGAGGTTGGTTGAAATCCAAAATCTAGAACCAGGCTTCTTTTTCTGTTTATTTTTTTGTCTCGAGTCATACATAACAACTCCATAACCAGACGCGAAACACTGCTTATATAAAGCATTACATAAAACAATTGAAACAATCCCACAGCCTGAACTATATTAACCAGGTACAAAATGATAACTCAAGTCAAAACAGAACACGAGGATCCCTCTTATTTCACCTAAAGGCATCTTATTTTGCTTATCACGTGTGGAACCGCATTAAAAAAAGACAATAACTGTGCGCTTGTTTTGGTACAACTCAGTCATCCACGGATGTCTGAGAGGTTATACAATAAAACAGCGTTATATAAGTGAACCACATAACTGGCCAATAGGAGCCCGCCTCGTACGTCACGTGACGCTCTGCGCTCGCTTCTGTGAACTGTGCATGAAATCCGAAGAAGAAACAACCTTTAGCTGCTGAAGCTAGCTGGCTAGCGACCAAGATGGAGTACCTCCGAGACTGCTTTATTTTTATCAGGGGTGTTCTCGTTTTCTAAGAGGAGAACATGATACGCGGATCCGGTAAAATATACGGGTGTTGGGACATCGGGTTGAAAAGAGTTCGTTTGTGGAGTTCGACGAGCGCAGAGGGGGCGATCGGAGTTAGCTAGTTAACAAGCTCTAACGTTAGCTAACTGTCGGCTTGCTCCAGGAGTCTCTTACATAAAACCAGCAGTCGATCATTAGAGCAAAGACGAAGGGCTCTGGGCGTCTGTAGCTGATCTATATGTAATATATCCTCGTCTTCCATGTAGTGTTAACTATTTTAAACCCTAAACTTCTCCTTTGTTGAGTTTTTATAGTATCTTAACGATTAGTTCGCACGAAAGGCCAACTTGTAATTAAGCTTCTTACTTGCTAGGCACCAAGGACTTTACCCACCGACTCTCGACTAGACATGAAATTGCTGTAGAATCATTTTTCGTGTCATCTTAAAAGCCACATCATTTGGAAAGTTTCCATTTGTAGCCGGGAGACTATATCAGACCGCCTCCCCTCATTCGCTGTAAAGGGGGCGAGAGTAGGCTGCCAAAGCGGAAAGCTTAGTAAATAACACCGCCCGACAGAGCCGGTGTTTACACGGAATCCACGTCCCTCTAGGTAGCTATAAGGTGGTAACTTAAGTTTACTTTTTGTGGGACTTTGACACGGACCTACTTTATCAGGGTGGAGATTGTATGACTCGTGATGAGTTCTGACCTACTTCCAATGGCCAGCGATGATAGTAGGGTACAATCGGGGGTTTGGTTTGATAGCAAGACGTAAATGATAGTTTGCATTAAATTGGGGTATGATTTCTGAGCAGCGTGGGGAGTTTGACTCAGTGAACCTCTTTGCCGTTTAAATAGCTGACTTTCCCTTTGGAAGAAAAATATGGACACAGGGGTAAGGTCACACCAGGGCGAGGTGTTCGTCCACCCGCTCTCCAACCCTGGGGCCGCAGGGATATTTCCCGAAATGCTGGAGGTGGCAGAGGAGGCCAACCGGGCTGGGGACTTTAACCTGGCCGTTGAGATATACAGCTCCCAGCTCGCAGACCTCCAGCAGCCGGACAGGGGTTTGTGTCTGAGGAAGGCAGACTCTCTGGCCCGCGCCGGTCGGATTTCCGAGGCGCTTGACTCGTACTGCACAGCGGCCAGCCTGGGCAAACTCCGCCCGGAGGAGCTTCCCCTCCTGGTGGAAACCATCGCCCGGACTCTCCGCGAAAAGAGCTGGGCATCACCCGGACTTTAAACGGACAGGGTAAAAGCAGCGGCGGGGAAGACGGGGTTGAAAGTGACAGAGAGTGTGGAGAGGATGAAACCCTGGAGTTGTTTTCATGTCGCCTCTGCAAGTGTCTGCTCCATGAGCCCACTACAGTGGAGTGCGGACACACTTTCTGCAAACGCTGCTTAGAGGACGACTCTGTCAAAGACTGTATACACTGCAAACTAAAGTTGAACAAAAAAGATGGACTGCCAAACGGCCGGAGATTAAACGTTGTTCTCAGCGGCCTGCTGGATAAACTGTTTGCAACAGAGAGCAAAGCGAGGAAATTCTGGATTGAGGGGGAGGTTTTGTGGAAAAAACAGGACCTTTCAGATGCCTTGGAGAAGTATAATGCAGCAGTGGATCTAGGTAAGGAAGCACAGCTTTCATGTACACAAATAAATATTTCATGTACTCTTTTATGTGTTTAAATATGACAGTTTAAAAAAAAAATCAAAAGTATAGTGTTTAGTGCAGGTGACCTACTTTTTTTTTTAGTCTGCCTTCCCGGTGTCACCGGCAAGTGGCGACACTCCTACCCATCTAGACTACACTGAGGTCAGGCGTTATATGACGCACCGCAGCTCGTTACCTAAGCAGCACACATACCGATTATCGTCTTCACAATGACGCATTCATACATGTTTTCTATTTCTACTCTGTAGTGATTTAACTGAGTAACCTTGGTGAAGGTATGTGTGTATAATTAAGCTTTCTGGACATAATTTTAGTTCTATTTATTTGCATAACACTTAATAATAATAATAATAATACTGCATGAATACATTCCTTAGCAGTGATAGACTGAGTTGGGCTTAACTCCTCCCCTTACTGGTGGTGTTTCATAAGCTGGCAGCATAAGATGTGTTGGATAACATTCAGGGAGGATTGACTATGGCAAACTTTTAACTGTTGGTATACAACAACTTGCTTTGACAGTCAAAGTGACTCTTTTAATAGGCACCATCTTTTGGATTGTTGTCACTTGAAGCAGTTGTTCCCTTGAACTTCGATCCAAAATACAGAATGTTCTGTTCTGTTGGCACCTTACATAAAGAACACCAGTGTGTTCTTATTAATTTTGAGCCAGGGCAAGTCTCATGTTGCACAGTTTGAATCCTTGCGGAAAGTTGAACCAACCTCTTTCCACCTCTGGCCTACATATCATATCACATTAAAATACATTTCCCATGGTCCTTGAAAAGCTTAATGGGTGAAACAAGGCTGGCATAGTTGGGATATCTCAGGTGTTCACACTTATGTTGGTTTAAGAAATGGATTAATTGGAGAAGAAAGTGTCAAGGGAAAGGAATATACTGTGCTCTAGGTTTGGGCGGTGTTCTGGTATTTATTTAGAGATCTTGATGGTATGACTTAATACTGTCAAAAATACAGACAGATGGTCCTCTTTCTATTAAACTGATACAGAGATGCTGCATTGAGCTGATGTATTGTAGTGTACTCCCTCAACCTAGGCAGGTGAACATCGCTATGATCCCTTTCACTTTTCCAGCAGTTGGTATAAAAACACACAAGGTTTAGCTGCAGCCTTCATTCGCTGACAAACTATAACCTACACTGTACATGTACTGCTGAACTTCCCTGCTCACCTTTTCCTCTGCTCTGCTGCATTCACCTGTCGCTCTGTCTGTCTCGCTTAACCACACACTCGCTATGTACACAAAAAGAAGTGACTGCGAGTGGTGGCGATAACTCCACAGGACTAGTAAACAAGAAAAATGCCTCTGCATCTGTTTGGGAGTATATTGGTTAATCCCGATGATAAAGGTCAGCCAGCCAACAGGGACGAAGCTGTGTGCACATCATCTTCGTTCAGCCCTCTGATGTGTCAATGGCAAGATGTGTCATCAGGTCCTCCAGGAATAATCTATAAAATAAGGGCACTTTTTGCCTAACTATTTAATAGTCTATGGGCCATATGTATTTTAAACCCATCAAGACTTGTCTAAGTAGGTTAATTGCATTTTAGACGCACAGCATTGTAGGCTAGACAATGTCATAATGCTAAAATTACTCCTATCATCAGCAGCAGTTTTAGCTTTCAAATGGCACCTTTTCAGATATTTATCTCCCCAGACCAATATTGATTCATGTTGTTATGGACTCCGGGTGACAAGAGGACAGAGTGCTTTCACAGCTTTGTCACTGCCAGTCAATGTTTTCCCAACAAATGCAGCAGGACGCCTTCTGGTATCTGTGATGCAGGATGAGCGTAATGGGCTCATGATGTCAGCAGAGGTACAGCTGTTAGCCAACCTGTGCCTTTTATTTTCCACTTGGTGGTTATCTGTGCTACATGTCTTATGTGCTGCCTTTACAGAATGAAAGTGATATAATGGGTGTATTTGTGTGAGAGAGTGAAACAGATGGGTGCAATATTGGGTACTGAAGGAGAGATTGCAGTATTTTTGTAATGTAACACAACCTGGGAGAAGCCGCTGCCTACATTTCTGTAAATAGCTTGTTTGTTTAAAAAGATATTGAAGGAGTACAGTGTACAATGAAATTAAAGAGGTCATATTATGCTGATTTTCATGTTCATAATTTTATTTAGGTGTTGTACCAGAATAGATTTGCATGGTTTCATTTTCAAAAAACACCATATTTTGTCATACTGCACAAAGCCGCTTCAGCTGATAAACAGCTTTGGTTCAGCCGTACATGTTGGAGCCCCCGTCTGATCCTGAAACATAGACAGAACAACACAAACTAGCTTTGCAACCTATGGAGCAAGAGTTGTAAGTTATTATAGGGGCTATATGTAGTTTTTTTAATGAAATTACTTATTAATAAATCAAATTTTCATTGCCTTACTGTCAATGGGCTCAAAACTAGTTTAGAAATGAAGCACACACTTGTTTTCTCTTTTGCTTGCATCAGCCACTATTCTGCTTTTAATGTGAGACACCGGGTCGGATTCAGCCCTGTGCACGCTCCGAGCCTCTCAGACTACAGCGACAACACGGCAGCTAACGACATGCAGTCCGCTAACACCATAAAACAACCAGCTCACAGAAAACACACACTCCATGTAAGGATACAAAACAACAATAAAGGCTTATGTGCTGAAACGCATCAGACCAAACAGATTCAGATGATGTCGAGTAAAAACACAGTGAACATCTGAATGGCTGGAGAAACCAGCATGTTGTGTGAAGCGGTCTCCCTGTCTGTCTATAGACGCTGTCACACTGCCTTTTTTCTGGGAATATTGTACCAATATGCGGCTTGCTGTGCTGTATGAAAGATACAGAGCCAGTGTTGAGCTGCTTCTGTGCCAGGAACATTGAAGTAACAAAGCCTGAACATGTCCTGAAAAAAGCCACAGCCTGCCTGCCGTTCTTTTCTGCATTTATTGCCGGATTTCTATATGAAAGCGGTTGTGTTTTGGATTATGCTCGCTCGTGAGTTCAAGCGAGAACGCGTACGAGCACACACCTGGTTGCAATCTTAAAACAGCACTGTTAGTGGCCACTGAAAACTCCCTAATGCCCCTTTAATTTGTAATAAAGTATCTTTCATACGTAAAGTTTTACCTGTGCATTGTCTCTACATCACAGTAAAAACTTTATGACTGCCTGGAAGGTAGGTTATTTGAATATAATTTTTAACTATCGTGGTTTGAGGGAGTGCCACAAAGTATTTTACAAAGGATTGCCGAGCATTAAATGCATGTTACATAGTGCACAGTTACGACTACTGTAACAGTCAAGCTTTTTTTAAGGCAGTTCAGGAGCAGTGTTTTCTGCATTGTCTCACATTTTCTTTCACTTTTCTCACCTGAAGTCTTCCGTGTGTCTCACTGGTGAACAGTTATGAGGATGTTGGAGCACATCTAGTCTGAGGAACTGCGTTTACCTTTACCATCATAGTCGAGCTAATGCAGTATCTCAGTCATGCTACACTCTGTAATTTCATGGGTAAAAGTGTAACCCAAGGCCTAAGTCTTAATATTTCTCACTTATAAACAATGTCTATTTTGCATTAGGTCTAAGCTCATAAGACCCTGTTTTTGAAAGTACAGTAAAAAGAGGTTGAGGCACAGTGCCACCATGATCAAAGTAATCCCTTATGTTTTTTTGATAACATCTTTATCATGTATCACATTACTGTTTATTAACACGAGGTATGGTTCTAATTATGCACTAATATGATTTTATTAAGTCATAGGGAATATCTGACCTTCTCTTATTCCCTCTGATGTGTACCAATAGATTTTTAAAATATATATTTGTAGTAGAGATGCAGCAGCAAAATACAGTCAGCTAGGAAAAACAATTTGGCAAATATGCAGCAATAATTATTGTGGAGCACTACTGGGTTTTCTTAAACCTTATATGGGCTAAAATCTTTACTGATTGCTGATAAGCTGATTAAACTCTACGAGACAGTATTTTGGGGATTTCTGTACACATGCATTTGTTTCTGAAAGATTGCGGCTCCTTGTCAACTAGCTACAGCAAATGTGGATTTATAACTGCATGCAAAAATAAAAGACAAGTCAGTATTATGTCTCTGAGCCATTTTTAATATTTATTGGAATGTCATGGGAGCCTCCCAGGTTTAAACACACCAGCACAATCTCCCTAACATTGTGTCTACACAGTAGGCGTTTATCCTTTCGAGCATAACTACAGTGATTGTGTATTTTGAGTCTGAGCACTACTAAAATGCCAGTGACCTACACTCAGTACTGTGGCTGAACGCATCCTGTAGGCACAGACGGAGCTCTAAAGCTGCTGCTGCAGATTTGCTAAAGTGCTGCTCATGCTATGTTTTTGGGGTTTCCCCAGAAAAGATGCCCCTCTCTGATTGGCTGAATCGATATCAGGATAAGTCAATTTAACAGCAACTAGCAGATTCAAATAACACACCATCTGCATGGGCAAAGAGTGCCAGAGAGCCAAATGTGTATCTGTTCAGTTCACAAGGAAAAAAAAATATGGTATCTGGAAGGTTGATTCAGACTTGTAAATAGCAACTACCCTAAAGTACCATGACAACAAATCAGAGGAGTTGCCAGTTTAAATTACCTTACACATGCTTGGCCTACAACATTTTTTTTTTTTTTTTTTTTTGCCCAAAACAAAATGAAAACTTAAAGTGATTTTTTTTTTCATGACTAATCTATTACAGAAATCCTCCTCATATCACGCCATTTAGTTTGATTTAAGGGTTCTTGGATACAAAATGGAGTTTGATCAGTTCCTGGGGTGCACTCGGAGTTAAAAATGAATATCCGCCATGATGTGCCAATTGCATTTGGTGGAAAAATAAATTGGCAAAGTGGCCAGTAAATAGTTTGGAATCACAACTTAGAGCCAGATTTACATTGTGTTTTCCACATAGACTAATGTGACCCTCACTGTCCACTGCAGCTATCATGACGTCAGCGAATCAAATCATGATTTATTCTCTAATCGTAATTCAGAGGTTGGCTATATTTCATATCAGCTGCAGCAAAGTATAAATATCAGAAGGCCAGCTGTATCCTGTAACATTAACATGATTAACAGCAGGGCTACGCCTATTTACTGACACTCCCCCACAGCCACGCCTCTTAGCTCAGAGACAGCACAGGTACCATAAACTCTTACAAAGGACCATGAATGTGCTTCTAGTGACAGTCAAAGTCAGAGTCTGACAGCAGCTACTCGTGGCTGGTTAGTTCTGACTACCAGCTCCATATGGCATTTCTTGCTATGCTGAGCGGTGGTCAGTCTGGGCAAACTTACCTCCCACATCACACACTACGTAGTGATTGTAGTGAGAAGCGTTTTGAGAACAGGGGTGACAAAGACATGTTTGTCCAACGTGCAGGCACAGTATAAGTTAAAGTGCAACAATGTAATTGATTTTTATTGAAAAAGTTCAGAATAAAGGTATTAAATCACATGTTATCCACTCATAATTGTCTCCTTAAAGTGATGCTAATGATGACTTTGCATACTATAAACTAGAGGTAATTATTTTTCGCCAAATAATGCCTAATGCAGGTTTATGGACAATAAAAAATATTTTTGTCTTAACACACACAAAACTTGCAGTATCCAGATCCATCTGTAACTACATCTTGCCGGCATTTAGATACATTTGTTAGGGTTAGAAGTGGTACACTACATGTAAATAACACAATTGCGAAAATATTAATAAGAAATGTGTTGTTTTTCTGAAATTGCTCTCCACCTTTTCTCTCTCCACCTTATGTTCCAAATGTTTATTCCTGCAGTCTCGCATAAAAGCTGTTTGGAGTCGTCATAGCACAATATTTTGGGGACATGTAATTATTGTCTGTTGGTCCTGCTGTTGGCATTTGTGCTCAAGTCTCAGCTGACTCAGCTCAGGCAGCCTGTTCACCTTCTGTTCAGTGGCTGGGAAGATGAGATCCAGCCTTTTGGAAAATGGTTTCTGAATCACTTTCCAAAGTGTTTCAGAATCCAAAGTTCCACCGACGAAGTGCCAAAGGCAAAGGTCAATGAGCTTAAAGGAAACTGTAGAAACCGTGTTGAAGTACTGTAGATACTGGGTTTGGTCTTTTCCGAAACTGTCCCAAGCCAAGGATGGAAAAAGAAGAGTTGTTATTACATTATTTGGTTGAGTTGTTACATTAAGACTAGGAGACGATGCTAACAGACTCTCAAAATGTCTATCTAAAAAGATTAACACAGTGACAGCATTTCATACTTCTGAAGAACTGTCCTCCTGTTTCTTTGCAGCTTTACACAATTTTGAATAGTTTTCCACAACAATGTGTATTTGTTTATTTTATTTTTTAAGGGTTAGGGTTAGATGGATTTAATTCTCCGAGATAACACAGGAACAGTTTGGTCCAAAAATAATGTGATCAGTAGTTAGCTGCATGAAAATAAACCATAGCTAGCTATCTTTCAACAAATCCTATGTCAACACAGTTGAAATACTGGAAGTTCTTGTTTCTCAGAAAAGAAAATGATGACAGTGAGGTGTATCATTTGCTAATGTGGCACACAAACCTGCTAGATAATATTGCCACGCAGTGACTGTTTTATAACAACAGACTAGTAATTGTCTCTGGAACGACTGATGTTATGTAGCTGTATCACTACACACACTACACATGTTTCATAGCATTCTCGCTTATTAAATAGGTCACTTGTTACATTGTTGCCCTACTTCTGTGCAGACCTAGAAAAAGTCCATCCCCTGGAGGGCTATTCACTGACCTTGTGTGTGTGTGTGTGTGTGTGTGTGTGTGGTTTTTTTTATTTTTTATTTTTTTCCCCCCTGTGGTCTACAGTGCCCTCTTCAGGCAGACTGCTGTGTCAGCGTGCTGAGTTGCACATGGAGATGAGGAACTTCAGTCAGGCAGTGCAGGACACCAACAGCCTCTGTAGATTAAAACCGCTCTGGACAAAGGTGAGACACAATTTTGAAATTGTCTTTTTTTTTTTTAAACAAATGTTCACTAGGATCTTTTGGTCGTAAGCATCAGAAAATTGTTCCTTTCCTGCTCTCAGACAACACTGTCCACTACTGTTTCTAAGTAATAAAACTACATAATGATGGTGCCACAAGTAACTGTTTCATAGTCCATTTTTCACAAATTTATGCATTAAACTTTTTTAATTTAGTAGTTGTGATATAAGACATAGTATGTATAGCAACCTTGGAGAGTTGTGAACATATATGGAAATTAAAACATTTTATTCTAAACTAAGATATTTTCTTTTTGCAAGTTACCCCCATTCTGCATATTAACATTATGTTGGTACATAATGTGCAACATTAGGGATGCAGCTAATGATTATCTTCGTAGTCGACTAAACTGTTAATTATTTATTCGATTAGTCACAATTAATTTCTCACCCCCTAACTCTAATTAAACCATATAACTAATTAAATACCTTTTAAGTGAATTACTGGACTCCAACACACGTCCTAACTAGCTAACGTTACCATTAAATGAGCGAGGTTTACTTTTCAGAATGAACACTAGGGAAGAAGACAAGACAGCGTAGTATACTCCTATAATTCACTGATTTACTTTTGCACTTAACATGTTTGCCTTCACAACTAAAAGAGCGTTCTCTTAGCCAGCATCATCTATGAGACCTCAAAACCAAGAATGCAAAGAACTATGGAGAACCTGCTCCTACATAACAGCCAGGTTTTATCACCCAAAACAATAAGCCCACAATCTGATTTATTGGGTAGGTTTTAACTTCCTTACAAAGATTTTTGTTTTGGAACTGTATATAAAATAAAAGCAAGTACTACAACCACAACAGTAGACTAACAATGTAAAGTGTATTTAGAATAATAAAGCAACAGTTGCTCTCCGCTTCTCACATGAAAGCTTCTTCTTCGTGAGTAGTCTCACAGTCAGGCAGTCGTGGCAGACAGTGGAACGATACAGCCCCTAGCATTGCAGTTAGAAATGAACAACCAGAAATCTTCATAATGAGAAGATTCTATCTTTCCCTTAAACTGCATCTCTGTAACGATGCATCGACAATGAAATTTCACGTTGACAAATTTTTATAATCGACGTCATCATTTACGTCGACTAATCGTTGCAGCCCAGTTAGAGCTAACCACCCTGGCATAATGTTACAATATTTTTGAGGCACTTTGACAATAGCCATGTTTCCATCTAATTGTCATGCGAATTTTAAACGGACTTTTGAAATTTCTCAAAAAAGTGTTTCCATCAGCTGGTTTGGCGTGAATAAACCAGGCCTAGCTACATTAGTAGTTGACGTTACACATGGCTGTAATAAACAAGATGTATGGGTTCCAAACCAGAAACAAAACCAGCCGCGTGGACCTGAGGGCCACTGATCTTAGAAAAATGTAGAGAGGTTCTCAGAAATGTGTTTCAACTGGGCAAACTGTTACCAGCCATGTCTCCGCGCATTATGATAATATCTGGCCAAGATGGCGACAGTGGAAACAGCTAATCAGATGTGATTTTATTTAGCGCATTAACTCTTCTTTTCTTTTTCTTTTTTTTATTTGACAAAGGCAAAAACCACCTTAAGCGAGCGTAAAATCTTTTTTGCAAAATTAGGATGTTTTTGAATTTTCGAATTTTGCAATCAACCTTTTCTAATGCAACACTTCAAAAAGCGCTTAAACGTTGATGGAAACACTGCTTAGAAGCTGCAACACCAAAAGGCTATAACTTGTAGATGTAGTACACAGCAATATCATGTAGTTGTTAACATCTTGTGGTAGAGACGTATGTGTCCTTTCTGCCAGAGCTGTCAAGTCCTATCAAAAAGTTCTAATTGGAACAATCATCCAACGATGGCATCAGCTTTTCATAAATGACTGTGTTTAGATTTAGGTGATTTTCATGTCACTTGGAAGCACTAAAATTTGTTAATTATTTATATTTGTATTATTTTTATGTGTTCAGAGTTGTCATGCCTTTGTTTGTTTAGTGATAACAATCAGATGGACAAAATACGTTTGTTTGTTGATTTTCTTTTTGCATATAGAAGAAAATACTGGATCTCGTTAATCGCACGGACGCACAATTTTTATGTTTATTTCAGGCTCACTTTCTGAAGGCCACAGCGTTGAGTAAAGCAGGCCGGAACGATGAGGCCTTGCAGGAATACTTTGTGTGTGTGGCGCTGAAGCCTGACTGGACCAAAGTTAAACTGGAGGCTCAGAAGGTAAGAGAAGCTCAGTTAAATAAAAGAAATGCTCATCAAGTATGCTTCCAAACTCTTGTTTTTGTGAAACGCTTATTTTGCCCATAAAACCTTTTAATGGAAATGACAGCAATCTGAAAGAAATACCTAAATATTGCAGTAAAGTAATATGTTTTGTTGGAAACCCGACCTGCATCAACTTCTTCTTGTTTTATTAACTACCATTTGTAGCATCAGTATATTGCTTACACCTACTGTGACATGGCCCCAAGGAAAAGCAAATTTCCCGACTACTCCTTTTCTGTGTGTATTGTAAACACTGACCAAGTGCCTTGCTTTATTTCATCCTGCAGATCCTTAGTGAGCTGTTTTCCTCTGTGTTTGAGAATGAGGACCTACCAACGCCGCTGCACCCACTGCAGGGGGGGATGGCCACCCGCCTCATCAAACCACCGGCCTTGCTCAGGTCTCTGAGGCCGCTCACACAGAGACCTGGCTCCTCCTCACAGGTTACTGCACACAAACACACTGAGACCAATGGAAACATCTGTCAAAAGGACATTTTAACTAAATGCTTTAAGGAACACTGAGAAGATAAAACTATAATAATCAATTATTGCTCTGCCCTTTGTTTTCTGTTAACTTTATTTTACTGCAAACCTTAGTTTTATTTTATTTACAAAGTTGCCCCGTGTATCATCAGCTTAAGTCCTTTACCCCTAATGATCTGAAAACCCCTTTAGTGTGGAAGGAAGACATTTGAAAACATGAAAGATGTTTTCCATATTTGTGTAATTAGGATGATTAGTGTGATCTTGGCCTTAGGCAAAGCATATTGTTATTTGTGTTTATGTTAGCAGGTTCATATCAGGGAAATTCATTGCATCTTGATACATGGAAATAGACTGGATCTCTACAGACAACTGTGCTGATTTGCAGTTTTATTTCTCAAAAAGTACACTGGGCCAACTGTTTAAAAAAAACTGTAACTAAAAATGACTTCACCAAGTAAATTAAATGTACTGCACTGCATTTTGTACATTTTGAATGAAGGTGCACTGGAGCAAAGTGCGGCTGTCAAAATGATTATCCCTTCATCATCGTCTAGCTCAATAATCTCTGTCTGTCTGTGTGTCCAGGACTCAGAGTTCAATGTGACTAAAAGCGCTCCAGTAGACGACTCATCGTCCAGACTGTCTGCTCCGTCTCCTGGACAATCAGACTGCGCTGCAGGGGAGAGCAACACCAAGACCCTGGCCGGCGTTCTGGCTGCACTGCCAGCACCACCTAGTGGCCTCAAGAGGAAACACAGCGGAGAAGGACCCTCAGTGATCTTCAACCCTCCCTCTAAACTGCTCAGACCTGGTAAGAGAATCTGAGTGATGACTCACATAAAAGACTGATCACTGAATATGGGTGTATTACTTTATTTTGAAAAGTTTTCTTCTCCCTTGTGTTTTAATCGTGTTTGTGAATCGCTTTTTTGTTTTATTTCTTGAGTTTCGCAATACCATAAGCCGAACAACTAAAAATAGATATGGACCCAATATTACCCTTTTTTTTTTCTTTTTTTTTCTACTTGGCAAAAGTTGTAAATAATTCACTCTTATTGGTGTCACCGATTGGATGCTTGGGGAACCAACTGGTGTTTTTTGATAATCATCAATAAATTATCAAATTTATTAAATTGACTATTTTTATTTTTCAACTCGTGCATAACTTTAACCCCATCAGTAACATAAATCATTGCTGGTCCAATTTGTTTTGTGTACTCATTACTGCTTTTGAGTAAAGTGGGGAATTTCAGCATTTGTAGTAGTAAAACAAAGCGGGAAATTAAGAATTAAACGATGTAATTTAAAACTTTTAAAGATTTTTATTTGTATTATTTTATTTCTTAGTTAGACTGCATTCAGTAACGACCTAGTGAACGCAAAGAAGCATAACACCATCATTTTAGGATGCAATGCAATAATAAAAGGAACAACTAGTACAACTAATTGCTTTTTTAAATGACTAGTAAGTATATACTTTATATAATCAAATTAATGTTAAATGCAAAGAAATTTGTTCCATTATTACGCATTACATACAAGTTTTTTTAATGACAAACAGTCTGATTGTCACTCCAGGAAAACAAAGCACGAAAACGAATAACCTGAACACACAGATATGTGTATCCTGATGTTGTGATGTTTTGAACAGACGAGGTGAACAGCTGTCAGACGGCCACGGTGTGTGGAGGGAGGACGGTTCCCGCTGAGCTGTTGGACAGTGGAGACTTGGAGTGTTCACTCTGCATGAGGTGACAGCACACAGTCCAACATTCCAGCACACACATGCGCACACAGTTACTGCATGCATACACAGTATTCACAGGTTTCAACAGTTGGGACCAAAATGACTTCAACACTTTTATTTTTTATCTGAATGCAATTATCAAGACGTATCTGCATGTAATACATGATGCAGCCATGATATCATTGGCCAACAGCCAGTGTTAACGGGAGCATGTTAAAGTTTCATGAGTGTTTTGTAATTTCTCCTCCAGATTGTTCTATGAGCCGGTAGCCACTCCCTGCGGACACACCTTCTGCCTCAGATGTCTGGAGCGCTGCCTGGACCACAACCCCAACTGCCCTCTGTGCAAGGAGAATCTGTCAGAGGTACACAAACATTTTATATAATCCAAAATGCGAAAACACTTGGTTCTCAATAGGGTTTTACCTCCATATTAAAAAGGTAATAACATCCTCAGTGTTGTGACTTTTGTGTAGTTTGTAGTAGTGCTGAAAAAATTATTTTATCTGATTTGTAAACTGACAGATGAAATTAATCAACATCAGTTTTTATAATTTGAAAATTGTTAAAGTAATTTATCTGTCAAATATATACCAGCATCTTCTGGTTCCAGCTTCTCAAATGCGAGATTTAGCTTTGGTGGGACAAAACAAAGTATTTAAAATTTCAATGGGTATTTTTCTATATTTTCTGACATTTTATAGGGCAAACTGATTAATTGATAATGAAAATGACAGCATAGTTATTGTTTGTGTTGTCATTGCAGTATCTGGCCACCAGGGGCTACAACAAGACCCTGCTGATGGAGGAAGTGCTGCAGCGTTACCTTGGAGATGAGCTGGCTGAGAGGAAGAAAATCCATGAAGAGGAGATGAAGGAGCTGTCAAAGTCAGTTTCACACACATGCAAATACACACACCCACACAATGAAAGGGTTTATTTACTATGTAAAAATAAATGTTAGGAGTTTTTTTTTAATTAGAACAGTAAAACCCTAAACCTATACAACCGATACAGAGACATGTCTCAGTTAATGTGGATTTAAAGTGTTAACATCTTATATCTTATCTTAGGTCTTGTTTATTCAGAATGCATTTGCTCTGTTTTTTTCTACCTCTATTTAACAAAAATAAGGTATCCAAAAACATTTATAATGGAGAAAAGTTATAATTTCAAATAACAATAATCAAATGTTTACTGTATGTCATGTTGACTTTAATTTTGCCCTCTTAGAGTCTGATTTGCTAGTTCCAGATGAAATTAAGTGGTCTTAAAAAGCCTTAAACATATTTTCTACAAACACCTCAGTCTCAACAAACTCTTCTGTGTCTCTTGTAGCTTAAACCAGGAAGTGCCCATTTTTGTGTGCACCATGGCCTTCCCCACCATCCCCTGCCCGCTGCATGTGTTTGAGCCACGCTACCGCCTCATGATCCGTCGCTCCATGGAGACGGGCACAAAGCAGTTCGGCATGTGCATTGCTGACGAGCTCAAAGGCTTTGCCGACTACGGCTGCATGCTGCAGGTAAGTGTTTGCATCTAGCGCTGTCACAGGATGTCACTCATTTGCTAGTTTTCCTGTCACAGATTTTCTCATCTCACTCCGCTGTATGCATTCAAATAAGATTTTATCAGTGTAAGTACAAGATAAAATTTCCTCTTTCAGGTGCGAGATGTGAAGTTCTTTCCTGACGGTCGTTCAGTGGTCGACACCATTGGTGTGTCACGGTTCAAGGTCCTCAGCCATGGCCAAAGAGATGGCTACCACACCGCCAAGATAGAGTACCTGGAAGACAAGAAGGTGGGCTGAGGCTGTGGATGTATTCATTTCAGACACTTTGCATTATGCTACTGTCAAGCAAATGTCACTCAAGGTAGAACTCAGGTTTTTGCCTCAAGCAACTTTGTGATAGCTGAGCAGTGGGGGGAAAAAGCTGTCTTGAGTTCCTTTCTGAGTCACTGACAGAATCTTTCCAGAGGGGGGAAAACTGTCCTCCTCCTGCACTAATAAATACATACGTTTGCCGATGTTAATATGCTTAAATTATTGTTTTTTTTTTCAGCAACTTCTGCCATCTTTACTCATCTTGGTCAGTGGTATTTTTAAAAACAAAATTAAAATCTGTGTCCAATCAGGTGGAGGGGGAGGAGCTGGTGGAGCTTCTGAAGCTGCACGACTCTGTGTACGAGCAGGCAAACAGCTGGTTCACCTCCCTGAAAGACAACATGAAGAGCCAGATCCTGAGCCACTTCGGACACCTTCCCAGCAAAGATCCCGACCCACAGGTGTGCAAACACCCGTGTAGCATAATTTCACCTCTTTTACCGCGATCACTACAGATTTAAATCTAAATATATGATGAAACAAGACGCCATTTTACCGTTAGCCTCCTGAAACTGCTTGAAACAACACAGATTGCACATTGCTGCCCTCATTATCTGCTAAGATTATGTTGTATAAGATGTTTAACGAAGGAAAGGATAATTTAAAAATCCACGATTTCATGATGCTTCCTTTGTAGACATGGTTTTAAGAAAAAAAAAAATTGCTGGTTATCCAAGACTATTGTCAAAAAGGAAAGCATGAATATGAATACCATATGCTTAAGAATGTAGTTAGGATCACTGTGTCCAACAAGTGTCCTCGTATTAAAGCTGCATTCCTTGGCAGTCAGAGGCCTAGGGAGCATGGATATTTTCCTAGAGCAGTAAGTAGGTGGGACGGTAGCTGTTTCCTCGATCAGCTGCCTCAGGTTTTCTTTTTACAATTCTCTGCTGAAACTGGCAGAAAACCAGCACTAGAGAGCAAATGCACAGTAATTGTCAGTGGAAGTCAGTCAGTGGAAAGACGCATAGAGGTGAATAGACACATTCGTCCTGTAGGTTACATAATAAATGTAGTTGTCACAATCTTTAAGTCACAAATTTTAATTTAATGTTTCATTTTTGAGTGAGAAACTCAAAAAAACTCTTTTTTTTGTCATTTTTCCTACCCCGTCATCATCTAAGCAGTAAAAGTTTTATAATATACAGAAATCAACTGTATGTATCTTTTCTCTTCTGCAGGGCAGTCCCAGTGGTCCGGCCTGGTCCTGGTGGCTTCTCGCTGTCCTTCCATTGGAGGGTCGAGCCCAGCTCACCATCCTGGCCATGACATCCCTCAAGGACCGCCTCATTGCCATCCGCAGGGTCCTCATCTTCGTCACGCGCAAAAGGCCGCGGTGATTACCCAGCCGCTCGGGGAGACAGACCTGAACCGCTTGGAGTTCTATGCAGTTCAGCAGTTCATTCGCTCATTTGTTCAGTCATTCATTTGTTAATTTGATCACTCATCGAATGATCCATTCACTCGTTTATACGTGTGCATTTTTCATTTACTGGCCCATACCTACATCAGTTCGTTCTCTCAGATGCTCATGAATTCCTTCCTGTGTAGCGCAGCATTTCTGAGCACACGTGTCAGTTCTGTGGTGAGCGTCAGGTGGGTCGGGTTGCTGGCATGAGGACATTCCTGGTTTCACTTCTGTCTGTTTCTGTCTGTTCATCCAGCCAACCCCCACCTGCGTTCTCTCACTGGACGAATCAGGCTACAATATCTGAGCAAGTGACCTCTCACCTCTTGTTCTCTTTTGAGGCAGAGGTAAAAGCAGTAAGCTGTTTAGGTCACTTCTGGGTCATTTCCCCGACTCTGTTATGCAGGAAAGAAAATTTATCAGAAAATCAGTGTGAGTGAAAAGGATCAGGTTCAAGAGGAAAAACCTTTCCTACATACACTAAGCAGTATTTCACATAAGCTGAAACAGAAGTCACCCACTCGAAAATTCACCTAGTGCAACATGAACACACCTGTGATGACTGCAACACACAAAAGTGAATGTACTGATGAGGCTGTAGTATCTGGATGTTCATCCCTTTTCTCCCTGCTACATTTTTGGAATCAGTTCGGCAAGTTGCACATGAGGACAGATTCCTGAGTGTGTGTGTGTGTGTGCCCTCGCAGCAGCTGCTTCACTCTAAATCTTCCTGACTGAGCCAAAATTAATGTGCAGAAACCTGAAGCTTTCTGTCCGCTGCCTCACCCTGCGGTGGGCATATGTACCTCAGACTGTCTTGATAGAAAGTTACAGGCACCATGAGAGTCGTTGCACTGAGATAGGACTGTGGTTTGCCCATGTTAACACTAAAAACCACAGACTATACAATGTGTGAGAACAAGTCTACAACAACGTGCTCAACTTGTTTTGAAAGGAGGTTCAAGTAAGAAAGTCGGGCTGTTGCACAAGTTCTAGCTACATTTAGGAGACAGATACGAATGCATCCTCTCGGATACAGTTGAAACTTTAATGTCCTATTGTAGCATATCTGTGGGACTTAGTTATAGGGGTCAATTGTGTACTTTTTATGTTGTTGTTTTTTTGTCTCTCTCTCTGCTATGCCCTTAAGTGTATGTGTATGGTGAAATCTTAAGTTGAGTTATTTATATGTATATCAATGTAACTCTGAGGCCTTTGTAATGTTTTATTTAAGGAACGTTTCCCCTCTATCGCTTTCTCTCTCAGTGCATTTACATGCACACTGCAATGCAGCAATTATGGTGCTTAAAGTTGAGTTTTCTTGTAAACAGTTTGTTTATAGTCAATGTTTCTCAATAAAACATGTGTATCCTTGAAGCCTCGAAACAGATGAATAGGTTTCCTTCCTCATACAACATTTTTTTAACGTGTTTTTGAATGTGCGTCGTTTATTCTATCTTCCGTGCCTTTACTGGCGCAATGCTGTGTCTCTTAGCACCCCCAACTCGTTATCGGTTGAAAAGCTTGAAACTGTCTGCAGGAATTTGTCTCAATAGCGCAACTAGTGGTCAAAAAGTGGTTAACGTTGCACAATAAAACCCCAAATTTATACAATGAGTGAATGAAAAGTACCATGTGTTTTGTTTGTTTGTAAGAGCAAGCAGGTGACCAATACGATTTCCTGCTGATGGTTTCAAGCTGGTCCACTGATCAAATGGTGGTTGCAGTAACATGTATAAGAACCCCCCCCACACACACACACACACACACAAAGTTTTAGATTAAAAAAAAAACAATGCAAATGTTTTTTTGAAGATTTGATTTGTTTTGGTGAGAAACACTGACTGTTGACCTGACTGTGTTTGTTTACAATCTGATTCAATGGTGTACCTTTTTAAAAGGAAGGATGAATGGTAAAGGAAGTGTTGAACGCTTAAATTTAACTATCTGCAAGTTATCAAATGAAATCAAGTATTTACAAGCCGCAGTGACTCATTATGCTTAACTTTAAGCCGGTCAAGATGTTTTCATAAGACAGCTGTGGTTGTGATCTTGGTGTGCATGTAAATGCACTGTTTCTCTGTATAATTCTGACTTCCAAATGTTTGTGACTACTGCAGTCACACTGCATTTCCCTGGTATATTTGTAAAGGGAGATCTTAAACCTATTTTTTATCGCAAATAAAGAAAAACCCATTCTGTCCTGCCTCTCCCTGTTATTTCGTAGCAGCTCTTTATTATTAATATTTAGAAAGTGAGGTAGATTAAATTTCCCATACAGCAACAACATCCTCATGGACCCATATCGGACTGCCATGCTCACACTTTTATGTAATATTAAGTGGATGTTTGTGACCTATGAAGCAGATCCACTCCACAGGCTTGTCAATGACAACTTAAAAAGCAGGTTCATTTTACTCATCCATATTTAGTTAATTCGGAACCGTTCCTCCACAACTTTGAAGATGGAGGAAATATCTTGCCACTGACAGTCAAACAAGAATGTGACTTACTCAAGAACATCCTGGCAGTGGTTTTTAATCTGTGAGTCTCATAAACTGCCATTACATGCTTGTGATAAATCCAATCAGCCCACTGAGTTAAAATGTGCCTTTGATCCAAAGGAAGTTAACTATGTTCAGTTCATTAAGCTGTTTTTCCCACAATCTTTCATTGGCTTTTCATTCATTTCACTGGTTGAGTCCATCAAAATTTACCACATCACACCTTTTCTCCTGTATACCATACTTTATTTCTCAGATGTTCTGTGACTTTATAAGAGAAACAAATGTTAAAAGGCTAAATTAATTTAGTAAAAAACCTTGTGAACATAGATGAGTAATTGTTGGTACATAAGGAAATCAGGAAGCCAGTTGCTCAGAAACATTTGGGAAATAAAGTATAATATCTTGGAGAAAGATTGTGTGTACAAAAATTAGAAAATGTCACACAAGGAAAATAAAATTGCCCGACTGAAACATGCTCAAGATTGGTGTTCTGTTATAGTCGATATTATGTTGATGGAGGATTCACGAACTGAATGAGAAACGGTTTGAGCAAGCACATATGGACTACAGCGTTTACCTAACCTAGTTTGAAAGTAGATCATTTCTAGGCTTGGAGAGAAAGGCAGGCCTGAGACGTCTGAGCTGAGATCTTCAGAGTTGACGTGGACTCTTCAGGATACACCCATCCATTACCACTCTGCTACAGAAACATGTCACTGAGTGGAAGGTTAGGTGCTTACTTCCACACTTGTAGATGAGGCTGTTGGCTGGTGTCTATATTAGTAACTAGTCTGTAGTGCAGACAATAAGCATCTTCCTGTATTTTCCCCTCCTAGGCTCTGCCACTGAATGTGTTTTATATAGTCTGCGCAGTGTGACTGTTGCTGGGCAAAGTGAATTTGGGTTGTTTCTTTTTTTAAATGTCTCCGTTCTTCCCTGCTGGGCTGTAGGACACACTCACGCCTGTGTGCCACATGGGGGCAGTGTTGAATGGTGAGATGAATTGTGGGGGCAACGAGTTCACACAGGATCCTTACTAAGAGGAGAGAGAAGACAGACAAAACAGAAAGGCAGACATCCCAGATAGCAATTTCTGCTTCAAATTAGACTCTGAGGATGGTCATTTACAAGGTTCCTGGTGGACAATAAATCCCGAAGCAACACATTCATGTACAACATCCAACATGATTTGGCACCAACTTGATGTTATGTGATTTATACTTTGTAAACTGAGCTCTAGTCATCATCCTGAAAGTATCCTCACAACATCAGAACATTCTATCATTATCTACAACCTATCTTCCAGAAGATGCACACATTAGCTAGACACAAAGTCTGGTACTGAATAGTATGTAGTGTCACTCAAAAAACTGGACATGATGCATTCTTTTCAGGTGAGTGGCATCTCATGGAAATCTTTCTGTAAAATCGTAACCGTAAAGCCAATCCCAGCTGACATTGGGCGAAAGTCGGGGTACACGCTGGACAGGTCGCCAATCCATCGCAGGGCCACACATAGACAAACAACCAGTCACACTCACACCTAAGGACAATTTAGGGTCACCAATCAACCCTAGGCCGCATGTCTTTGGACAGTGGGAGGAAGCCGGAGCACCCGGAGAGAACCCACGCAGATAATAATAATAATAATCCTTATTTGTAGAGCACTTTTCAAAAACAAGTTACAAAGTGCTTTAACAAGTGTAGAGAATAATACAAAAAAACAAGATAAGAGCATGAAAAATTAATATAAAATTAGTAAAATACAATAAAATAAAAGGGATAAAATAAAGTCAAATAAGATCGGGAAAGGCTCTCCTATAATAGTATGTTTTAAGAAGGGACTTAAAAGAGTTCACTGACTCAGCTGACCTGATTTCCTCGGGCAGGCTGTTCCAGAGCCTCGGGGCCCTGACAGCAAACGCTCTGTCCCCTTTAGTTTTCAGTCGAGACTCTGGAACAGACAACAGACCTCTGCCCGAGGATCTCAAGGTACGTGCTGGTGTGTATGGGACTAAAAGTTCAGAAATATAACAAGGCGAGAGGCCATGAAGAGCTTTAAAAGTAATCGATAGAATTTTAAAGTCAATTCTAAAACATACTGGGAGCCAGTGTAATGAAGCTAAAATAGGAGTAATGTGGTCATATTTCTTTGTTCTGGTTAAAAGCCTGGCAGCTGAGTTCTGGACAGTCTGGAGTCGATCAATAGATTTTTGGGTTAAACAGGTGAAAAGGCTGTTGCAATAATCCAGGCGTGATGAGATGAAGGCGTGTAAAATGGTCTCGGTGTCCTTAAAAGTTAACATAGATCGAATTTTTGCTATATTTCTAAGTTGATAAAACCATGATTGAACAAGCTTTGTGGTGTGCTGCTCGAAATTTAAATTACTATCAAACCAAACACCAAGGTTCTTTGCCACAGGCTTAATGTGATTTACTAGGGAACCAGCAGATGGCAATATTTGATTTGCCATCTGCTGAGACCCAATGACCAGGATTTCTGTTTTGTCTGAGTTCAGCTGGAGGAAATTATTTTGACATCCATTTTTTAACTTCACAAAGGCAGTTGTTAAGTGAACTCAGCATTCCAGGGTCGTTGGATCAGACGGGCAAGTATATTTGTGTGTCATCAGCATAAATATGAAAAGAAATGCCATGTTTATGGATAATATGTCCAAGGGAAAGCAGATACAAGGAAAACAAAATGGGTCCTAAGACCGACCCCTGAGGCACACCATATTTAACTGGACAGAATGAGGAGACATAGTTGTTTACAGACACACAAAACTTCCTATTTGACAGGTAGGATGAAAACCATTCTAGGGCAGTACCAGAGATCCCCACCCAGTGCCTCAGTCTGTCTAACATGATGTTGTGATCAATGGTGTCAAAAGCAGCGCTAAGGTCCAGGAGTACTAGGACTGAGCACATACCTTCATCAGCAGACATTAAAAGGTCATTGGTGACTTTAAGCAGGGCAGTCTCAGTGCTGTGGTACTTCCTAAAACCAGACTGAAACTTTTCAAATAATTTGTTATTTTCCAGCACAGTGAGCAGCTGTTTGGACACAATTCTTTCTAGAATCTATGCAATAAAAGGCAGTTTTGAAATTGGTCTAAAATTATGTGGGAGGGAGGGATCTAAACCAGGTTTCTTTAAAAGTGGGTTCACGCAAGCCGTTTTAAAATAATCAGGGACACAACCAGTAGATAGGGAGCTGTTGAAAACAGAGATCAAAGGTGGCCCAACAGAATCTATTACTTTCAGATGTAACACCAAAATGTTTGACCTATCAGATTCTGTGACTACACCCAAACAACAATGTTTTCCTAACCTTAACCAAGTACTTTTGGTGCCTAAACTGCAACCGCTTCACATCGTCAACAAAGCCTTAACTTCACAGTCAAGCGCCACAGAATCTGATAGGTCACACAGACATGGGAGAACATGCAAACTCCACATAGAAAGGCCAGGGCAACCAGGGTTTGATGCTGTCTCACCAAGTTTTTCTTAGCACGTGGTTATTTTATAGAAACTTGTCCCTTTATCTTTCTTGGACCATGTAAACTTTTCCATCAGATTTAAGGTAAATTGTTAAAGAGAAGAAAAGGCAGCTTCATTTGTTCACCTGTTCTGCTCTGGCCACCATATGCAGCTGCAGTGCTCTCCGACAGTAGTGCAGCGGGCATCGAGCAGCTGCTCTCTCATGTTGTCTGCTCAAACCCATCTGAAACACGCCCCTTTCTCTGGAGGCAAACCAAAGACAATAAGTTGCCACTTCCTGCTCGGAAGATTGTTGAGATCATTGACACAAGAAACAGAGGGCCGTGATCCAGAGCAAGATGTCTCCACAACTTTGGGCCAGATTACAGTGAAATTGTGTGTGGATATTCTCCAGAAGAAGAAGGACTGCAGTATGTGTGTTCAGGCAAAGATACATCTAAATGTATTTTGAAATAATACACCAAATACCCTAATTTTAAGTGTATCAAAATGGTCTACAAAATACAGCAGCCATGCCATGTATCAAAATAAACCACTGCATTTTTGCATTTCGAAAACACCAAAAATACTTTTGCAGTACAATGTTGCTAATGACAATAAGGCACAGGTGTGTGCATTTAACAAGTTACACCATCTTGTGGCTTTCTTTTGTTTTTTCATGCACAATGAAAACTTTACATAGGCTGAAAGTAGCAAGCTAATGTTAACTGTGAGGGCTGCTACTTGGGTCAAATAGTTAGCTAGAACATTACGTAAACTGATAAATGATTTAGCCTAGACTATTAAAATGAACACCCATACATAATATGAACTGTAAACAATTGTAGCAATTAATGCTAAAAATCAATGGAAAGCTAGCAAATTATACATTTCTCACCTTGATCTTCCTCGCGTCTGGATCCATTTTCTGTTCTGATCTCAACTCATCTCAAATCTGTCCAAATTACTGAGTAAACATCAAACAGAGACAGAATTTTTATGATGCCATCACAAAGACTTCTCACAAAGCATATTACAGTAGTATTTTGATACAACAATTTTGAAGCCATTTTCATCAACACTATCAAATACAAATTACAAAATCCTATTTTGTATTTGAAATACATGTATCATAAATACTGTCCATTCCTGCATGTGCTGCCTCTTGTAAAGTAATGGCTTGATTGCCTGGGTTCCCCAGAGGAGGAAAACT